GATCTCAGTGTCACAAGTGTGGAAAAATGAACCACTGGCAATCAGTATGCAAATCATCAAAGAAAATACAAAATCGTCCACCAACACAACGCCGTAATAGACAGCAGATACATGATATGGGGTACAACACAGATATGACAGAAGAAGAAACCCTGACAATAGGAACTATTCATGCAGATGACAGCCGAGAGGAAGTGTATACAATACTGCAAATTGAACGTGCTGAACTGAAAATAAACCTGAAATGCAAAGTTGACACAGGCGCCCAGAGCAATGTACTCCCATTGCCTCTATTTCGTATTATCTTTCTAGATAAAATGGATAGTAAAGGGCAACCCCAAACCAAACGCATTACAAGGAACAAACATGATTCTATCAGCATATGGAGGATCGCAAATCAAACAGTTGGGAACAGTAACAATCCCTTGTCAACACAGAGGAAGGAAAATTTACTGTATTTTCTATGTGACAGATGCAACAGGTCCTGCCATCCTAGGCCTAAAAGCATGCAGAGCACTTAACATTATTTCATTACATTGTGCTATAGAAAGTAAACATACAACAAATGCAGCAAAACAAACTGCACATCAAACGAAACAGAAGAGCCCCAACTACATTGATAGCGACATACCTCTAAAAGATCGTCCAACGATACGAGACAAGAAACATCTACTACAGATGTATCCAGACTGCTTCGATGATGTAGTCGGATGTTTTGAAAACTATACCTACCACATCACTTTAGACCCAAAAGTACCACCTGTAGTACATGCAGCTCGTCGAATACCAATAGAGCTCAGAGACAGACTCAAAACAGAACTAGCTGAGATGGAAAACAAATTGGGTCAACTCACCTGTCATTCGAGAGAAAGAAAATGGCAGATTATGACTGTGCTTGGATCCCAAAGACTTGAACACTGCAATCAAGCGGGAACACCACCCTACACCAACACTTGAAGAAATCACACATAAGCTGACTGGTGCAAAATTGTTCAGTAAACTCGATGCCCGGAACGGATATTGGAATGTTAAACTAGATGAAGAGTAATCAGTACTAACAACATTCAACACTCCATTTGGTCGGTACAGATTCCTACGAATGCCATTTGGACTCCGCATGAGTCAAGACGTTTTCCAGTTCAAAGTTGACGAAGTATATCGCAACTGCAAAGGAGCCATAGGCATAGCAGATGACATACAAGTATATGGTTCAAATGAAACAGACCATGACTTACATCTACATGAAGCTATGGAAGACACCAGACGGGCAGGCATAAAACTAAACAGAGATAAATGTCACATAAAAAGCAGAGAATGCAATTTCTATGGTATGCTATACACCGCTGAAGGAGTTAAACCAAGTCCAGACAAAGTCAGAGCCATAGAAATGATGCAGCCCCCAAATGACAAGAAAGAACTACGAACATTTCTTGGTCTTGTAACATACATGGGTCCATTCATACCCAAGCTGTCAGACCACACAGCATCACTGA